AGTTCCATAATTAGAGATAGGCCTGAGAAATGTATGCTTAATTACTTTACACTGCCCAGTAAGGTCCTGATCCTGTACCACAATCGATCCCTACCCACCCTTTGCCCTCAATACAGGGCCTCTAGTATCCTAGAGTCCTGGTGTGGCACTGCATAATAAGCACTGGACTGCTAACTTCAAGTTTGTCAGTTCAAGTCCATCAGCTGCTTCTTGGAAACCATAAACACTTTCACTATAACATGTATAGCACTTTACAAAAACAACAATTATCCATACATGACATACACATTTGACGGCATAATACAGCATTCTATCAGCTTTTTAAAAACCACTTCCCATAGTAAGTTCTTTGCTTCCCTCAAGAAAGGAAAACCCATCAAGTCGATTCCAACTCATTGTAACCCTATAGGATAGGGCAGAAGTACTCCTTAGTGTCCCAAATTAGCAATCTTTATAGGAGCAGCCAGCCTCATCTTTCGTCCACAGAGAAGCTGAGATGTTTGAAGCTCTGACATGCAGGTAGCAGTCTGATGTATAGTACTAACATTTATAGGGATCTAGGAGTCCTGGTGTGGCGCTGTGGGTTAATGCGCCAGACTGCAAAGCAATTTGAACTGCAAGGCCCATGGTTCAAGCTCACCAACCGCTCCTTGGAAACCCTATACAGGGTCGCAATGGTTTGGAACCCACTCAACAGCACTTAACAACAACAACACAACCCACACATGGCATACAGATTCACTGGCACAACAGATAGTTCTTGATTCCTTCCCATACTCGCTCTTTGTTTCCTTCAAGAACGGAAAACCCAAAAACTGATAGCCATCGAGGTGATTCTGACTCACAGTGACCCTAGAGGACAGAACAGAACTGCTCCTTAGGGGTTCTGAGATCACCTCATCTTTCTCCCCATGGTGCGGCTGGTGGGTTTGAACTGCCAATTTTGTGGCTAGCAGTTGAGAGCTCAATCCACCATGCCAACAGGACCCCTATCAAGAAAGGAAGGTGGTAGATCAAGGGGAGGTGGGAATCAAACACCTAAATATGAATCAAGTTTGGCTGTATGATAAAAGTTCCTTATGATACAAAATATCAACTGCAAGAGAAAATTAAATAGGGGGGAAAATAGCACTATTTTATCTTAGTTTAGATTGAAAGTTTTGGACACTTTACAAAGAAGACAGCAAGTACCTTTTTAATGGATTTTAGCCACAGGAAAATGATTACAACCAGGGAAGCTTTAAAGTGTCGGCTGGTGATGCATTTTTCTTTATCCCTTTTTATTTTTATTCAGAATGAAATTGAAAACATATGGCAAAGTGCATCATTAATTTCTTATTAATTTCATAATATGAAGGCAACCAGTTAAAATAGTAGTGCTACAACTTTAAATTACTGAACTCACTTCGTATTTAATGAGAGCTTTAGCACAGTGGGGTTTCTGTTAAATTAAGTTGTGCCTTCACATCACAGTGGGAAAACAGGTGTATATTGGTTTAGAATTATGGAAATGTTGACTAATTCCAAGGCTTGTAATCAAACAGCAAGGCACCCTGTAATATTTTTTCCCAAGAATATGCATTAATCTTTTATGTCTGCTTCCATTTCTTCCTGACCACAAAGGCTCACAGCTGAAAGGAAATCACTTTCATATTTTTCCTGGCTCTATTAAGGGTGAGTTTACCAGGTAAAGCTATACATAAATGCAGAATGTGGAACTCTCTGTCCCCTCTTACCTAATTTGAAACTGGTAAATGTAGCAACAAAATGTGCATACTTCTGTAAAGGCTGTGAGCCTACAAATCAGATCTGACTTTTCAAAATTTTCACTCAACTTGCCACAGGTAATTGGGCTTATAAAATTGAATTGGAAAAAACAAACAAACCAAACACCAAAAATGAAAGCATCTTTTCCAATCCAAAAGTTATTTTTCTTAATAAAAGATCTCAAAATCAACACCCCTAAATTCAACACGTACAATTTTTAGTTGTGGGGAAAGAGATGTGTAGTATACATACACATGCTATTGTTAAGTGCCAGCCAGTCAGTTCCAATTCATAGCGACCCTATATAGGGTTTCCAAGGAGTGGCTGGTGGAGTCATGGTGTGGCGCTGTAGGATAAGCACTGACCTTTTAATGGCAAAATTAGTGGTTCAGACCCACCAGCCGCTTCTTAATTCAACACACACATACATATGTTGTCGTTGCTGTTAAGTGCCATCGAGTCAGTTTTTATTCATAGCGTCTCTGTGTAGGGTTTCCAAGGAGCAGCTGGTGGGTTTGAACCACCGACCTTGCTGTTCAAACCAACCTTGCAGTTCAGTGCATTATCCTGCAGTACTACACCAGGATATATTTATACAGAGTCGCTATGACTTGGAACCAACTCAACAGTACTTAACACACACACACATACATATATATTTAATTCTATATACACACACACATACACATATATTCAATTCTACATGTATAATTCTACAGAAAGGGGTCAGGATAGAATGTCCCAGACAGAAGCAAAGCCATCAGTCACGTCTATGTATTTCACCATGCCCCAGAACCTTCATATGTGAAAATGGCATACTGGGAACTGTGCTTCTAGAAGAGAAGAAAGTTCAAATTTATCAGGTTTTGCATTAATTTAAAATATGATGGGATTTGGCAGCAAAATATATCCCAAATGCTAAACAGCAATTCATTATCTCAAGTAATTTAAGAGAGAATTTGTGCACTAATTTTTTTTTTTAAATAAAAGTTTAAAATTTATTTCGTTCTTTTTCAGAATATACACAGCAAAACAAGTACCAATTAATTTAACAGTTTCTCCAAGAACAATTCATTGGTGATTACATTCTCCATTCCTCCCCCATTCACATGCATTCACTTCCTGCTAAGGTTCCTACCTAAGCTTTCAAAGTTATTGTTGTCAATATGAGCCCATATAGATAGTTCTTAAAAGAACACAATACTCAAGGAAGATATATATTTTTTACTAGTTTAGCTAAATGATTGGTTTAAAGAAGATTTCAGGGAATATTTTGGTTTAAGGTTTAAAGATATCTCAGAGCATAATCTCATGGGTTCATTCATCCAGTCTTCAGGGCACCAGAAAGACTAGAGCTCATTAAAATTAAAAATCCTGTTCAACATTTCCCACCTATTCATCAGGATTCATCCTTTAAGAAGAGAACTTTACAAGATGTTATTTAAGCTTGAGAGTCTGGGGCAAAAAACAATGAAAAAACAAATTTTCCTCTAACACTGGCTCTTGCTGTTGTTGTTAAGAGCTGTGGAATCAGTTCCGACTCACAGCGACCCTGCATAGGGTTTCCAATGAGTGTCTGGTTGTTTGAACCACTGACCTTATGGTTTGCAGCCCAGTGCTCTAGTAAATATTTGTCTTAGTTGTGTGACCCAACGCTGTTATTTTCTAGAATTTGCATCAGAAAAAAATTCATTTATATGGAGAATAAAGCTGAAAAGTTACAAGGTTTTTCTTAACATCCTTGAGTAAAGAATATAGACTTTATCGTAATAATTAAAAAAAAAACAAAAAAAAAAACAAACCTTTACTAAAAAGCACCTTAGAACTTTCAGGGGAAGTGATTAAATTAATTTGGGAGGCAGCATCCTGGTACCACACACTTAACTTCTCTGAACTTTCTCTTCTTTGATTTGTTCACATGAAAAGAGGAAGACTAAAGTGCTGTGATTCCAGAACACAGTTCATATTTTATTATTTTTTTGGGGTGATTAAGGAGCTAATGGAATCCTGACGGGGCGTTATGGGATAATGCACTGGACCACAAAATTGGTTTGAACCACAAGGTCAGCAGTTCAAACCCACCAGCTGCTCCTTGGAAATCCTATAAAGGGTTGCTGAGTTGGAACCAACTCAATGATACTTAACAAAAACAACAAAAAGGAGTTTATGTTTTGCAAATCTTTTGTTGAGCATCTTGCCAGTACAAACAGTATAACATTTTCAATGATTCCAAGGAGAATTACATAAATGCTGTCTTTTCTTGGGGTAATGGGTTATAAAATGTTTGTGTGCATATAGCACACATATTAGTATGTACACACACACACACAGATATTTATGCTCTGAACACATTAGGGACAATATGTTATCTTGTTTTCATTCTTACCACATCAGGTTTCAACAAAATCACGATTAGTGCATTGCTTATCACTTCTACTTTATAACCAATGAATACCATTATGACACTGAATTAACTCATTACTGATACTGGGGCCAATGGGGAAAACATCCAAATACCATAGGGAAATTGATACCAACATATGATATAAAAAATTGCTACAAAACCCTTTAGAAATAATGTATTCTGATGGAATGGCTATATAGAATATCAGTTCATTTCCAGTGAATTGTACTAATCATCAAATATTGCTGGGAAGGAAAGGGGAAAAAAAAAAAAAAGAAAAAAGAGAAAGCTTTGTATTTTCTGCTCTGTATCAACATGAAGCCACAAATTGGGCATTAAAACATTGACTTTGTTAACCACCATTGACTGTTTAGAAACCATTAGGAGGCTTAATATTATGGCTGTACAGGGTACATTTTATCCTTTCAAAAGAAAATCTAAAGACTAAATTTGAAAAGGGGCTCCTGGTGAGTAAAAGCTTTTCCTTCTCCATTTGCTTCCCTGGTGTATGGTTTTTCCCCCCTTTTTCCTTTTAAAGTCTTAGCCCACCCAATACCCTTTGGCAGCCGCTGCTACCCAGTGGGGTCATTCTGCTTTCCTAACCAGGGGATATGCTATTTCAGAGCTCTTTCCGTCTGTGCTAATGCCAATGCCTCTTTATGGGCCAGCCAGCTGCTGTGGCTGCTGTAGGGGAACCAAGAGGTCAGAACACACGCCGCAAAAGACCAAAGTCATTTTTGGCACTAAGAGCCCATAACTAGAACCTTCAGTTGAAAGGGACCATTTTCAAGCAATAAAGTGATTTTGGTACAAAAGTAAACTGACTCACCCCAGGTAAAGTTTTAATATTGTGCAGTGCATTCTGGGCCTCAAGTGCAGCTTTTCTTGTATAAAATGTTACGAAACAACAACCTACAGAGAGAAATGAAAAGGTTTTAGAAATTTCTGTGAATGCTTTGCTTAGATATAATAGAGACTGTGGTGAACAAATAATCTACTTAAAAGGATGCACAATTTAAAAATAATAAAGGCTATGAGAACAGTAATAACAACATCTCAAGCATTTACACAGTGCCTTTCATCAGAAATCATATTTATTAGCTTTACCCAAGCTGGATACCAATTTATAACTCTACATACCAACTGTCTGGAATGCAGATATTCAAGAATGAGGGTGGGGACTGGGTGGGTGAGTTGTTAATGGGGGCTTGTGGTACTGCAATCACATATGAGAAATATTTAATAACAGTAACAATAGCATGACTATAATTTTCTTAGAGGATGTCTCTAGCACATCACACTTTCAAAACACTTATAAGCTCAAAAGTTTTAGATAACTCTATTATAAGCTTCTTAAAGATTAAGGTAGTGTTTTAAGTATTTTTTTTCATCTTCACCATAGCACACAATGCAAGGTTCTGTACATACAACACTAGATATTTGTTTGTCGAAATGACTGACTCTATTTTAACCTGTTTAGAAACTGATGTTAGCAGACCCTGGCCAATGTATCAAACATGGCTACAGCACATCAAACGGCAATCTCTTGGTTCCTCCATTTCCAGGAACTGATGAATGGCTAGGCTGCATAGCCCCCCTCCCCCTCCAGGAGAGGCCAACAGCATATACCCCCTTCCCATGTACCTCCCTCCACCCAAGAAAAAGGTTTTGAAGATTTAAATCATCTTCTCTGCACTGAAGACAGCTGACACATTCTTTCTGGAGATAAAGCGGGCTGGTTAACACATCTACAATTTATTAAGTAACATATAATTTTTTTTTTAACACTGCTAAGCTTAAAAAAAAAAAAGAGATGGACAACAACTTTAGAAACTATGTCAAAAGATATTTCTGATGTTAACTGCTTTTGGTATATTGAGCTGAGGGACAAAAGTGTAGTGATGCGTTTGTTCAGACTGTACATATCTACTGGTGGTGGTGGTGATGGTGGTGGCTGTGTGCCGTGGAGTCAGTTCCAATTCATAGTGACCCTGTACAGGGTTTCCGAGGCTGTAACCTTGAGAGAAGCAGAACACTTCATCTTTCTCCCACGGAGCAAGTGATAGATGCAAACTGCAGACCATTCGATTAGCAGCCCAACTTTTAAAAAACTACGCTACCAGGGTTCCTTATGTATTTAACTACCATGAGTTTATTAAAGGATCGTAATGCATAAATCCAGGCAGGGATGGAAAGAATTACAAAGGTATCCATACTCCCAGCACAGTAAGTAGCATTAGAGAAATGCATGTGGAACACGTAAGACCCTAATATCAGTACTGTTTGGGCAAATGAAGTACATAAGACTAGAAGTAGGGAAAAAAAAAAAGAAAGAAAGAAAAAAAAAAAAAACCGGGAACAGTGAGGAGAGCCAGAAGTTGGTACCAGGAGTCATCAAAGGTTTAGGTTCATGAAGGGACATTCAGGTTTTTCAAGACAAAATGCCAAAAGGAGTGGGGAAAATATATCTTGGGTGCTTCCTCTCCATTTGAAAAAGAAAACTGAATCTTTGCTGACTTACACTTGTTTTCATTGTAAAGTCATTTAAATTATACACAATCTCTACTTTTTAAACAAAGTACATGACCATAGTTTCTTGGTATTTAAAAAACTCCATTCATCTAAGGATTATTGTTGTTAAGTACCATAGAATCAGTTCCAACTCATAGCCAACCCGTATGGTGGTGGTGGTGATGTGCCATAGAATCAGTTCCTACTCACAGCGACCCTTACAGGGTTTCCGAGGCCGTGAGTCTTTACGGGATAGTTTCCAAAAAGCAACTGATGGGTTTGAATTCCAACCTTGTGATTTAGCAGTCTAGAGCTTATACAATAGTACCGCAACAAGACTAGAAACTCTTAAAATATATTATTTGCATGATGGAGGGAACTGAGATTCAGGATGTCTCTTTAAAGATGGAGAGACTGACCACTTTTATATGGGTTTTTGACTTCTGCTATTTTTACTTCCTTAACACAAAGTTCATTTGGCCATCCTGCCTGACAGATTATTTATTTATTTTAACTTTAACTGACCAATTTCTATCGTAATTTTAGCCCCAGAAAATAGGAGATGATTCTATTAAAAGAACAATTAAAATGGGAAACTCAAGTGTAGGCTTTCAGTAACCTAACTGTAATAATAAGAAAAATATTAACTATGATGGCTTAGTATAGAAAGAAAAACAAGAAAAGAGAATCTACAAGTTTCTAACAAAGAAACCCTCAATGAACTCTCCTTTCCCTCTCCTGAGTTGATGGGGTTAGCTTCCAGATAAGGAAGCAATGGAAAGGTTCTGATTTCAACCTCACTTCATCATCAAAGCTTCAAAAAGAGGGAGAAACTGATATGATTCACGAAGCAGATTTACAGGCTGAGATACTTAAAAACAAAAGATTTAAAGATGAGAAAGAAGTTACATGGCAGTTTGGTTGGCTAGAAAGAAGGAAATTAAGGAAGACTGGGTTTGGGAGATTAAAACAAATGCCAGTCTAGGCCTTGGTCAGAATTAGGAATGAAAATTTTAAATTGGCCCAGAGGAACATTGGAGTGCATGGAGAATTGCAAATGAAGAACTGAACACAATAATTAAGATAAAAAAGCAAAGAATAAAGATGATGTAAACAGAGACTCTTAACAGCTCTCACCAATACACAGTGGTCTCAAGGATAAAGAAAGCTTTTCTGTCTTAAACCAGCTGCTTAGAATCTCTCTCATTTCCCCACTGCCTGAAGTTTTAGTACGGAGACACAAAGTATGAGGTTGTTCAGTAGAAGAATTCTCATTTCTTATGTGGAAGACCCTGGTTTGATTTCTAGCGAATGAACCCATGCACACTGACCACCCGTTGGTCAGTGGTGGCCTGTGTGCTGCTAAGATGCTGAGCAAGTTTCACCGGAGCTTTTAGAGGAAGAAAGACCAGGAACAAAGCCTGGAGCTCCACTTCTGACAATCAGCCCATAAAGACCCTAGGGATCACAGAGGTCCAACCCTCAACTAATGACACAGGCGGATGACACAGGATTGACCGGGCAGCGTTTTGTTCTGTTGCGGATGGAGTCTCATCAAATTTAACATCAGCAACAAGGTGCAGTTCAGTCAGGTAATAACTGCCCTTGAGGTGGTTATGTGCTGTGGAGTCGGTTCTGACTCATAGTGACCCTATATAGGGTTTCTGAGGCTGTAAATCTTTGCAGGAGCAGAAAGCCTCATCTTTCTCCCGTTGAACAGTTGGGAGGTTTGAATTGCTGACCTTGAGGTTCGCAGCCCAATTCATAACCACTACACTTCCAGAGCTCCTTGAGGTAGGTAACATTTAATGTCTCTTGGCTATTTACATTTTAGTGGGAATTTGGCTACTTGAATGTCTTTTTCCTGGAAAAAAAAAATGTTCTTAGTGGAAAGAAGGTGTGTAGTTTTATCAAAATAATAATAATATCTTGTGTTTAACAGAGAACTTTAAAAAGCAAAGTTGTGAAGACAACCTAAAGACTGGGAAGAAAAAAATGTAATCATTGCTCAAAGGGTTTAATATCCAGAATATATCAAGAACTCCTATAACTTAGAAACAAAAAGACAAACAGCCCAATTAAAAAGTGGGCAAACAACATGAATGGATGTTTCACCAAACAGGAACATAAATAGCCAAACAAGCACATGAAGAGTTGCTCAACACCTTTAGTCACTGGGGAGCTAAAAATCAAACACATAGATACCACTGTATCCCCACTAGGAGAGCTCAGAGGGGGGAAAAAAAAAACACCCTAAAAACAAAAGCAAATGTTGGAGAGGTTGTAGATAGATTAGAAATTTTATTCATTGTGGGTTGGAAAACAAAGATGGTACAAACTACTATGGGAAACAGTCCGATGGCATATTACAGAACAACCATGTTGTTGTTGTTGAGTGCTATCAAGCTGGTTCCAACTCATAGCGCCCCTCTATAAGGTGTCCAAGGAATGGCTGGCAGGCTTGAACTGCTGAATTACGATTAGCAGTCCAGTGCTTATCCTACAGCGCCACACCAATATTTCAAATAACCCAGAACTTCCACTATAAGGTACATAAGGGGCTTCAAAAAGTTCACAGAATAAAGTAATAGAAAGATAATGGCATATTTCCATGGATTTTTAAGTCTACCCCTTATATAGAAAGTGGCACTGCAGGATAAGAGTTGGGCTGCTAACTACAAGGTCAGCAGTTTAAACCCACCAGCTGCTCCCTAGAAACCCTATACAGGTGGGTTAGAACTGATTTGACGGCTCTTAACAACACATACCAAGAGACTTGAAAGCAGTCATGCAGACACATGCACATCAGTGGTGAATGGAGCACTAGTCACAAAGACTAAAAGGTCGAGACATCCATCAACAGATGAGGAAAGGACAAAGTGTGATATACATGTATACATACAACCATGTATTAGCCACAGAGAAGACTGAAGTCCTGATGCATGTATAAGTGGACAAACCCTGAAAACATTATACTTAGTGAAGTCGACCCCCTCCCCCCCGCCAAGGGTAGTACTGCATGACCTCACTCATAGGAAATATATAGAATAGGAAAGTGGCTACTAGGGACAGCAATGTGGTTAAGCACAAGGTTGGTGGTTTGATTCTACCAGCCGCTCTACAGTGGAAAGATGAAGCATATACTCCCAACAAACACGTACAGCTTCAGAGGACTATGAGTCGGAATCGACTCCACAGCACTTAACAACAATAACTAGGGGCAAAAAGGAGGGAGGAGAGAAGAGGTCACTGTTTGGGAAGTATTAAGTTTCTGTTTATGGTGATGAAAAATTTGGCAACAGATACTGGTGATGATTGCACAACATGGTTAATGTAACTGACGCAACTAATTCTTTACATGGAAAAAGGTTTACCTAGCAAAAATGCTTCATTCTATACAG